TAGGAACTGGGGATAGACTTTTTATAGAAAAAATCTCCAGGAACTGGGAATAGAATATTTTTCTATAGAAAAAAATCCCCAAGAATCTGGTAATGGATTTTTTTTGGAAAAAATCCCCAGAACTGGGAATGGAATTTTTTTAATAGAAAAGAACTGGGGTTGCAATTTTTTCTGGAGGTTGTGCTATTTACTATGGAAAAAAATTCCTTAAAATCTGGAAATGAATTTTTTCCATAGAAATGCCTTTATCTTTACCTTATGTTTCGACAATTGATGAGCAGCAGAATAATGTATTGTCAAAATTTGTTGTCTTTCAATGTCGTAACAAACACTAGCTAAATATTCCGTAACATTATTTAAAGGTATTGCCAAAAGATATGACGTCATCGGTCAGGGGCACCAATCGAATTGCTTGGATGATTCATATAAATTCCAATTAATCGGTTCACACCAAACCTATAAAATAGTATTTATTTATCTTTATCTGCATAAAGATAGGTCCGTTTGCATTTTAGTTCGACACTACTTCGTTTGTCTTTGTCCTGATTAATGCTGGAATGTAAAAATGTATTTATTTTATATTTTTCCATTCGTCCATCCAAAACTTACCTGGGAATACGCGATCCACAATTAAGGGTATAGTCTACATTTTCATAAATTCGATGGGAAATATCCTGAGGATGGATTAAAGTTTTTTGTCTTCCAAATTTCTTATACAATTTCGGTCTTTTAGATTCGTGTTGTGAAAAGAAGAAAGTGCAATCAGCGGTGACATATGTATTAAGGAAACAACAACAAACTATAGCTGTTGGGAGGAATATTTTGAAATTCATTTTGACAACTTGCTGCTAGAAATGCGACCGTAGAAATGCTTCTCTTCTGAAGTGGGGCATTATATATAAACTTTTCAGTAAAAGGAAATATTTCAATTAACATTTTCTTAGAAGATTTTATAAATTGATGACATATAATGTCTGGGAAACCCAAGATGTAAACCATTGGGAATTATTAACCGGTATTTAGATTATTCAGGGGTTAGCCTGAAAACGAGTTTAAAATTTACCCATAAAACATATTAATTAAAAAAAAAAAAAAACAAACAAAATCCAAAGAAAAATACTTTGAAAATTGCAATTGGTGGTGCGATATGGGTTAAGCATGAGGTAATATTGTATTTCGTATACAATAGCTGATCCAATTTTAATTGAGTACTATTATTATCCAAACAATACTACACTTTTATGCCAGGGACGGGGATACGATAACTAATTCAAAATACTAGGGACTAGTTCAAAATAATTCGTCAAAATTTATTTTCTTCATAATTGCTACGGTGTCGATTTTTTCGAGTTTATTATACCCCACAACACTATGTGTTGGGGATATTATAAGTTTGATTGGACCAAAAATTATGTAACACCCCGAAATATTAGTTTTCCAAATAGGAAGGCATATATGGATCTTCCTATCTCGCCGAGCTGAGTCGATCTAGCTATGCATGTCCGCTCGTCTGTCCTATGTTAATTTGTAATTACGCTTACGGCCCCATCCTCACGAAATGTTGCATGGAGGTGGGTTTACGGTCAGAATAAAAGTCTATTGCTTTTGAAGATGATCGCATAGTATTTAGGGGTTTAAATGGACCAAAAAAAAAATAAAATTTTCCTGATTTTGCAGTTGCTCTAAAGGCAGGATTTATAGACCAATCCACGCTGAAGTTAGTATGGGGCTAGAGCTTAGCTTAGAAGCGTACCAATATAGGTACAATATACAGGGTGAGATGAAAAAAAAACTGCAAACAACTTCTGACTGCTGTCATTTCTAAGCCACACGTCCGACAGCTATTAAAATTATTCCAGTGACAGCTCATTATATTGTTTGCAAGCGTACAAAAGCATTTTGGTGAGAGTTTTCCAGAAAAAAAGTTATTCGTGATGGAATTCAAGCGTGATAGTGTGATTTCTTTATATTTGGCTGGAAAACCACAAGGGGCTAATGTTAGAGCAATCCAGCAATGTGAATAAATCTCTTGTATCTCCTTCTATCATCACTCGTTACTGTGATACTGGTAGCGTAGCCCGAAGTGGTCGAAAGAAAACAGCAACATCAGCAGAAATGGTTCGAAAAGAAAAGAAGCGACTTGATCAAAACCCACGTCGCAGTGGCCGAAAAATGGCTTGTGAGCGGAACATATCGCAATATTCCATTCGGCAAATATTGAAAAATGAGCTCGGGGTAAAGCCATTGAAATTCCAAAAAAAGCAAGAACTTACACCGCAACAGAAGGAAAATGGACTCAAAAGAGCTAAAGTGTTGCTTCGCTTGGCCATAAGTGGTTAGCTGCCGAATTTGGTTTTCTCCGAACTCCGGTGAGAAAACATTCCTTGTCCAGCAGTTTGTAAACAAACAAAATGGTCGAGTTTACTTGCCAAAGAGGTCAGTTGAAAATGTGCACCTTCGGTTGGCCACCAGAACTCAAGCGTCGGAGATGGTGTGGGCCGCCATAACAGCCGATGGTTGCTCTCCGCTCGTATTAATCGACCGTGGCATCAGAATAAATATCCATTATTATCGCGAAAATATTCTAAAGGGTGTATTAAAGCCTTGGGCACACAAACATTTTGGTCGCAGATCTTGGACCTTCCAACAGGACTCAGCATCATCGCACTCAGCACACGCCAGCCAAGAATGGTTGCAAAATGAGGTCCCTCGCTTCATTTCCAGCGCACAATGACCACCAAAGTTTCCGGATACCAATCCGTTGAACTATTGTGTCTGGAGTATTTTGGAAAGCAAGGTTGGCACTAAAAAGTACCAAACTGTGGATCACCTCAAGCAAGCGCTTCGCCGGGAATGGACCAAAACACCGCAGAGCAACATTCGGGCAGCGTGTGACGATTTCATTGGCCGTTTTAAGGCTATAATTCGTGCCAAATGTGACCAATTCGAACAAATTTAAACTTATTCTAAAATTTGATGCTATTTTCGACATTTTTGGCTTTTATTCAATAAAATTAAAAAAAAAATGGAAAAATTATGGCGTTTGACTTTGTTGCATTTTTTTATCTCACCCTGTATGTCTGTCCGTTTGTCCTATGTTAATTTATTATCACGCTACAGGTTTCAATTATTGCCCCATCCTCATGAAATTATGCATGGAGGTGGGGTTATGATCAAAATAAAAGCCTTTTGCTTTTGTAGACGATCGCAAAAAAATTCCTGATTTTGCAGTCGCAATTCGACGAGGAAGTTAGCATGGGGCTAGAGCTTAGGGCTGGGCAGAAGGGTCATCGGGCAATATTTAGAGGATAAAATAAACCATAAGTTTTATGTCAAAAAAACGAACATTTCCAATAAACTGCAAATATTTTTTAGCCCGTCCAAATCACAGATACATTAAAAGGTCTCTTCTGACCATTACAGTAATGCTGATAGCCAGGATATTGCGTAAAAATAAGCCAATAAAAAAGTGAATATTTTTGTTATATTTTCTTTAAATTTTTATACCCTCCACCACTCTAAGTAGGGTATATTAACACTGTCATTCCATTTGTAACTCCTCGAAATATTTATAATAGACTCTACAAAGCATATATATTCTGGATCAGCGTAAAATTCTAAGACGATCTAGGGATGTCCGTGTGCCTGTCTGTCTGTTGTAATCGCACTATTTTTCGAACGAATTGAGATAGAAGGCTAAAGTTTTGCAAACATGCATACTTTACCATTAGGCAGGTTAAGTTCGTAAATGGCCCCCATATAAGGGTACCTCCCGCAATTCGGTATTTTCATGATTTTAGCGACAGTATTTACCGGAATTATTTCAAATTTCCTATTTAAAGTTCGTAATGGGTACTACAGCCTATGACAAAAATTTTTGTATGCAGGTCCACGTTTTCATATAGCTCCTATATAACGATACCTCACGATATTCGGTATTTTCATGATTTTGGCGACATTATTCACCGCAATGATTTCAATACTGGTATTTAAAGTTCGTAATGGATACTACAGCCTATGACAGAAAATCATCTGTGCAGGTCCACGTCTTCGTATAGCCCTTACATAACGGTACCCCCCAATATTCGGTATTTTGATGATTTTAGCGACATTATTTACCGAAATTATTTCAAATTTTGTATTTAAAGTTCGTAATGGATACTACAGCCTTTGGCAGAAAATTGTCTGTGCAGATTCTTTTGTAACCCCCATGGTACCTACCTGATTTGATGATTTTAGCTACATTATAAATAGATTTTTTTCAAGACCCTAATATACGGCTACATTCGGTATTTTTAAGATTTTAACAGGATTTTTAACGGATTTTATTTTTTTGAAAAATTTTAAAATTGTACCAAATGGTGGAGGGTATTCAAAGTTCAGCCCGGCCGAACTTACAGCTTTTTTACTTTTTTTTCTTGAAAAAAATATGAGTCGATTTATGCCTGTACGTCCATCTTTCCGTTTGTCCATGTATTTTTGTAAATAGAGTGTAGATCGCATTTATTTTCCGATTAAGATGAAACTTTCCACACATCATTTGTTTGGCCCGAGGACAAACTTCATTGAAATGAGTGATAATCAATCCAAATTTAGATATATCTTCCACATTTATCTTTGTCCAATTTCAATTTTATTGGGCGCCATATATGTGTAATATTCATCTAAATAGGATGTATTTCGGGGCATCATATAGTTCGCCCTACCCAATTTTTGGGTTTCTTTACTGGTTTCTATTAAAAAAAAAATGTTTCTAAATTTAGTTCTGAATTTCGTTCTTTAGAATTGAGAAAATCCTTGAGAAAAATTATGTCCTTAATTACTGAGGATTTTCTCTAAAATTTAATTTCATCCCCACTTACAGACTTTCCCGAGAAAGAAAGAATTGTAAGGTATTTTAACAATTTTTTTCCACATTTGAAAAATAGGCCACATATATCGCATGGACTTGATCATACATCCTAAATCGGTGCTCTCATTTTCAAGATTCTCTCTTCCTTAGGGTGGAGGGTATTAAAAGTTCAGTTGTGACCTGGTCGTATTTATCAGCTTTTTCACTACTTTCATAATAATTTCATTTATTCCCAACCCCTGGATTTCCCCATGTAATGTACATTTGGATTTTCCTTACAACAACACCTCAATTGAAAATAAAATAATTCTCTTATGAAATTTACGTTAATATAATTCACACCTTCAAAGACAAATCATTTATTCGTTGGCTCTCCTGCAGACAAGTTGTTTAAATGGATTTTAAAAAATTCCAACTGACAGCCATAGTTTATTGTTGCTGTTGTTATGCTGCAAGCCAAGTCTTAGGCGACTGTTCGTTTAGTTTCTCCGTACATGAGTCGAAGTGGCCGAAATTATATAAGAACATTGGCAGCCGTAAAACGTTGATCAACACCAAGGGAATTCGTCATCAAATCCCGGAAAATATAGTAATAACCGCTGATTGTGAAACAAGTATTCAGAGGTGAGATTGTGAGTGGTGTTTTTGTTTTTTGAAAATTTACGATTTTAAAATTTCATAAAAAAATGAATTTTTGTTGTACAGGCCCGGAGTAAGCTATGGCAAACGTAGCATCGATTTGAATTGTACTCAAAATCACATTTATGTAGATGATATTAAACTAAATAGTTATCTACATCTTTGGTGCTATTCAAACCATTTTGATTTATATGAATCGTCTCAACCATTCGACTGGTGTCCAACGCCCATGACATCATATCTCCTGGCGAGACCTGTGAATGACACTTATGTATATTATGCTGGGATTTGTTACAACTTGGAGCAACAACAGATCTTGACGGCGTATTATTCTGCTGCTTATCAATTGTCCAAATATAAGGTAAATTACACTATGCGACAAAATTCAATTTCTTTTTACACTGTGCAACATAAATTTTTTTTTATGGGAAAAATCCAGTGTGTATCCATTATGAAAGTAGTGCACAGCAGTGTGTGCCCATTTTGAAAATTTAAATCGCAAAGTAATATAAATAGATCTCAATCTTCCGATTGAGATCATTTGGAAACAGTGCCTTCGAGCTATACTGTCCATTTGACAACATATCGGGTCACCAAATGGGGGTTTGTTTGGTCCTTACTTAAAACCAGTAAAGAAAGTCCTAAAGTCGCGCGGAGCCGACTTTATTATACCCTACACCACTTTGCTAATTTAGTAGAGCTCCATACAAGTTCTTATGGGAGAATTCAATCATACACGCTATAATTATAATTTAAAGTTCAAAGGACTAAATATGCCGAAGCATTTGTATCTTTTAAATTCGGAGTTGCACTGCCCATTTGGTGCAAAATTAATTTAAATCAGATAAAGATATATATGGGAGCTATATCCTAATCTCAACCGATCTCGATAAAATTTGGCAAAGATATTTCCGAGCTGTATTTGATATATTTCCCTGAATGTCGTTGTTACGGAGTGCATATTACGGCTGTGGGTAACAAATACCATAAATCGGAAGAACAGTATATATGGGAGCTATAGCTATATCTGAACCTATCTTCACCAAATTTGACATACTAGCTTCTAAGTGCCAAATTTCATCCAATTTGGGCAAATATTAGACGTTTGGTGCACAATCCAAGGTAAATCGGACGAAGTTATATATGGGAGATATATCCAAATCCGAACCGATCTCGATAAAATTTAGCAAAGGTATTTCTGAGCTGTATTTGATATATTTCCCCAAATATTGTTGTTAGAGAGTGCATATTACGGCAGCGGAGGACTAAAATAACAAATCGGATGAACAATATATATGGGAGCTATAGCTATATCTGAACCGATTTCGATCAAATTTGGCATACATATTTTCAGGCCTAATTTGGTTGTTTGTGAAAAATTCCATACTATTCGGTCTGATATTACACGTTTGGTGCACAATAAAAAGCAAACCGGACGAAGATATATATGGGAGCTATATCTAAATTTTTACCGATTATCTCCAATTTCAATAGGGTTCGTCCTTGGGCCAAATAAATGTTGTTTGGAAAATTTCATCTCAATCGGATAATAAATGTGACCTGCATTTTATTCACAAGAATACATGGACAGACGGACGGACAGACGGACTGACTGACATACATAAATCAACTCAGAAAGTGATTCTATGGAGATTCTCAAAAGTAAATATGGGTCTATCTCGCTTCCTTCTCCATGTTACAAACCAATGCACAAAGACATGATACCCTTACTATGAGGTGTAGGATATAAATATTGTTAAAACTCACTTTAAATATTTTTTCAAAATTATTTGCCACAAAATTCTAATATGGGTCGTAAATTCTATCGCATGTCTTATTCTTACATAAATATATGCAGGGTGACATAAAAAAAACTGCAACAAAGTCAAAAGCCATATTTTTTACATTTTTTTTAATTTTATTGAATGAAAGCTAAAAATGTTGGAATTAGCATCAAATTTTAGTATAAATTTAGATTTGTTCGAATTGGTCACCTTTGGCACGAATTATGGCCTTCAAACGGCCAATGAAACCGTCACACGCTACCCGAATGTTACTCTGCGGTATTTTGGCCCATTCTCGGCGAAGTGCTTGCTTGAGGTGATCGACACTTAAGTATTTTTAGTGCCAACCTTGCTTGCCAAAATACTTCAGATACAACAGTCCACCGGATTGATATCCGGAAATTTTGGTGACCATTGTGCGCTGGAAATGAAAAGAGGAACCTCATTTTGTAACCATTCTTGGATGGCACGTGCTGAGTGCGATGGTGAAATGTCCAAGGTGTGCGGCCAAAATATTTGCGTGCCCAAGGCTTTAATATACCCTCCAGAATATTTTCGCGATAATATTCGGCATTTATTCTGATGCCACGGTCGATTAATACGAGCGGATAGTGATCATCGATTGTTGTGGCGCCCCACACAATCACCATGGCCGGCGCTTTTGAGTTCTGGTTGCCAACTGAAGGTCCACATTTTTAGCTGACCTCTTTAACAAGTAAACACCATTATTTTGTTTATTTACAAACTGCTGGACAACGAATGTTTTCTAATCGGAGAAAACCAAATTCGGCAGTTCACCAAGCGAAGCAACTCTTTAGCTCTTTTGAGTCTATTTTCTTTCTGTTGCGGTATAAGTTCTTGCACTTTTTGGAATTTCAATGGCTTTACCCCGAACTCATTATTCAGTATTTGCCGAATGGAATATTCCGATATGTTCAGCTCACGAACCATTTTTCGGCCACTGTGACACGGGTTTCGATCAAGTGGCTTCTTTACTTTTCGAACTATTTCTGCTGATGTTGCCGTTTTCTTCCGTCCACTACCAGTACTACGGTAACGAGCAATGGTACGAGACACAAAAGATTTATTTACATTTAAATGCTGAAGTGCTCTGACGATAGCCTCTTGTGGTTTTCCGGCCAAATATAAAGAAATCACACTATCACGCTTGAATTCTATCAGGAATAACTTTTTTTCTGTAAAATTCTAACCAAAATGCTTTTGTACGCTTGTAAACAATATAATGAGCTGTCAGTAGAATAATTTTAACATCTATGGGACGAATGGCTTAGAAATGACAGCAGTCTCAAGTTGGTTGCAGGTTTTCATCTCATCCTGTATGCCAAATTTGATCGAAATCGAAGTTCAGATCTAGCTATGGCTCCCATATATATTGTTCATCCGATAATATGAATATTTTTGTCTTTAACCTCACCCTTTTAAATTAATGCTTTAAAGGAGAATAATACATAAAATCAGTAAGATTTCGACTTTTGATGTCTACTGAACCCAATGGAAAATTTGGTGGCAAATAATTGTGTGGAATATTTTGACTTGTTACGATCCCATATTTGGGGAGTTCTTAACTACACTTTGAAAACATGACCAAAATAGGCCTCATTTGAGGGTTATCATTTTTGACCAAAATAATCCTAGTTGGTTATCGGTAATATGGCCGTACAATATGCCTAAAATTCAAGTATTCCATTTCAAGAAGTTCTGAAGAAATCCCTCTGTTTAGGTTACTTTACGGTGTAAAGTTTCTAAACATCGATTCATGTGTCTTCAATTTTTAGCTGTACTTCCGAAATCTACTGAGTTTTCTAAATTGAAGTCAAAAGAGTGGAATTTTATTGCACAGTATAAAAAAACGAACATTTCCATTTCCCTTTCTAGTATCCGACTCGTCTTGAAAACTATCCCCCTTCAACGGAAATAGAACAAGCATACAAACATTTTGAATCTCATCGGTGAGTAGCATTTTGTGGCGATAAGGAAGGGAAGACCATGGTTACGCAAAGAGACGCCAAACCTATACAACTTGTTATCCACACTTGGGTATATAAACAAATTTTGTCGAAGTGGTTATTTTAAAATAAAGGACTATATGTATATTTTAAAATAACCCTTTTGACACAAAAAGAGAGAGAGAATATCCCCATACATATTAGTGACCCTTTTCAAAACTATGGTCTTCCCCCAAACTGCGGTCAATATAGTCATTTCATTTATAAAATGTGTTGCCATGCTATGACTGTTCTGTTTCCCTTCTCTCCTGTTTAGCATTAACCCCACCCTCCTCAAGAATGTGGAACTCCAACAATGGCTGCAATTTGCCCAGTATGACAATCAGGCAATAATACAAGATCCAAATTTATTTACAAATCCCCATAATCCAATTGGTGGTCTCTTGGAATTTCATTGGTGGCCAAATTTACATTCGGGCAACTGGCATCGCTATGAGAAAGCTCTAAAGGAACATATTGAGACGGACAAGGAAATTTATGAGATTTTGGAGGGCGTGTCGGGAGCAGTTGCTGTACCCTTTTATGGAAATGGCAGTGGAGGAAATTACTCCATGGTTGAGGTGACCTATTGGCATGATCGAAAAATTCCCCTCTACATATGGCAATATTTGAAGTCGAAAAAAGATAATGGCAAAGATGTGGTTGTGATTGCCGTCAATTCAGCTTTTACTGATGTGAGTAGATATTTTATTTGAAAAGTCTTAACTTATAAATTTTCCATTTATATCTCACATATCTTTCATAGTTCTACGAGGAAAAGGAATTAATTTTCTGCACTGACATCTGTCACAAAATAGATTGGTTAAAGGCGGCTATATCCACATTCCGTTACAAAACGATGGGTCTGATATTCTGTTGTGATGTGGACGAAGTAAAGCTATCGAAACGTTTGGAAGGATTCGCATTACCATCTGAACCAGCACGTATCGAAGATGAATTTGATGATTTTAATGAATCAATATTAAAGTACAAACTTCCGCCCCAAAAGTAATGAAGATTTGAGGGCATGTAATATTTAAGTATCGCAAATTGTATATTTAAATATATTTTATTCGAAAAATATGTTAAACCAATCAAAAAAATATGTTAAACCAAAATAATTCCATTATTGTGTTATACCTAGAACCAAGGTTTATTCAGTAGTGGGAATGAAATTACAAGGTTTACCAAGGGGTATAGCAAAGAAGAAAATTGTTTTGTAAAGAGCTACCAAAATTGCGAATCCCTCCATCAATTCACCACAAAAAAAATGGATAGGCACGTGTGTAATTTGCAGCACTATTGTAATGAAAGCTACATACCATTTGAACTACCCTGGGCTACACAAAAACGAAAAAATAACAAGAAAACCCCAGATGATCAGCGTAAAATTGTAAGACGATATAGTCTGTCTGTTGTAATCACGGTAGAGTCAAAACGAATTAAGATAGGAAGCTAAAATTGTGCACTGATTAGCCTTTTGTCCGCAGGCAGGTCAAGTTCGAAGATGGGTAATATCGGTCCACGATATCGCATAGCACCCATATAACGGTACCTCCGTATATTCGGTATTTTAATGATTTTAGACAAGTTTTTCACTGGCATTGTTTGAAAATTCACACAAGTAGTTCCTTCTGAGTACTGGAAGAGAATGGTCTATAACAATTAAACCCCCGATATTCGGTATTTTGATGATTTTAACGACATTATTACCGGAATTGTTTCAAATTTCGTATTTGAAGTTCGTTCGGCAAAAAAATACTTATACAGGACCACGTCTTCGCACAGCTACTATATATGGATTTTTTATTGAGAGGTATTTTTCGACGGATTTTTTTTTTTTTTTTTTTTTGAAAAATGTTGAACTTCCTTCAAAATGTTGGAGGGAATTAAAAGTTGGGCCCGGCCGAGCTTAGCTGCTTTTTTACTTGTTTTTACTAATTTTTTTCGATTGGCAATTACCCTCGCAATAACTAAAATCAAGTGGAATTACTGATTGTTTGATGTAGAACCAACGCCCATGAGAAACGGCTGCAGCCAGAATCTTGAAACTTCGTACGAGGGACAGTCTTGTCCCTAAGTTTCATAATAATATGATGATGTATCAAGTTTGCATCAAATCGGATATTCCCTTAGAGAGATATCTTACGCATCAGCCAGACAGACTGACAAACAACCCTAGATCGACTCCAAATGTTCTGAAACGGATTTGGTCCGAAGAGGTCTAGGATCTACACGCCAGGCACGTTTCAAGTTGTTATGATATCATAAACAATGTAAAATAATTTTAACCGCTAAGTCGATATTTAATAATTTGGTAATCTTAATGGAAACCAGTGTCCGTCCCATAATTTTGGTCCACTGTATCTGGACTATATCACGCTGCTCTTTCGTTTTTGTCAGAAACGTTTCTCCGTCATGAGCTGTTCATCTACAGGGTGAGATAATTTTAAATTTTACTGAATGAAATCAAAAAATGTCGGAAATAGCATCAAATTTTAGAATAAGTTTAGATTTGTTCGAATTGGTCACCTTTGGCACGAATTATGGCCTTCAAACGGCCAATGAAACCGTCACACGCTGCCCGAATGTTGCTCTGCGGTATTTTGACTCATTTCCGGCGAGGCACTTGCTTCAGGTGATCGATATTTTGGTCTTTTTTAGTGCCAACCTAGCTTTCTAAAATACTCCCGGCGAAATAGTCCAACAGATTGGTGTCCGGAGATTTCGGTGGCCATTGTGCGCTGGAAATGAAGCAAGGAACCACATTTTATAATCATTCTTGGGTGGGGCGTGCTGAGTCCTGTTGGAATGTCCAAGGTCTGCAGCCAAAATGTTTGCGTGCCCAAGGCTTTAATACACCATCCAGAATATTTTCGCGATAATATTCGGCATTTATTTTGATGCCAGGGTCGATTAATACAAGCGGAGAGCGACCATCGACAGTTATGGGGGCCAAAACATCATCATGGCCGGCGCTTGAGTTCTGGTGGCCAACCGAAGGTCCACATTTTCAGCTGACCTCTTTGACAAGTAAACACGATCATTTTGTTTGTTTACAAACTGCTGGACAACGAATGTTTTCTCGTCGGAGAAAACCAAATTCGGCAGTTCACCACTTTCGGCCAAGCGAAGCAATTCTTTATTTTTTTTTGAGTCTATTTTCTTTCTGTTGCGGTGTAAGTTCTAGCACTTTTTGGAATTTCAATTGTTTTACCCCGAGCTTATTTTTCAATATCTGCCGTATGGAATATTGAGATATGTTCAGCTCACGAGCCATTTTTCGGCCACTGCGATGCGGGTTTCGATCAAGTTGCTTCTCTACTTTTCGAACCCTTTCTGCTGATGTTGCTGTTTTCCATCTGTCTTCCGTCCACTTCCTTGACGTCGAGCTACGCTACCAGTATCACGGTAACGAGCGATGGTACGAGACACAAAAGATTTATTCACATTTAAATTTTGGAGTGCTCAAACGATAGCCACTTGTGGTTTTCCAGTCAAATATAAATAAATCACACTTTCACGCTTGAATTCCACCACGAATAACTTTTTTTCCGGAAAATTCTCACCAAAATGCTTTTGTATGCTTGTAAACAATCTAATGAGCTGTCACTGGAATAATTTTAACAGCTGTCGGACGAGTGGCTTAGAAATGACAGCAGTCTAAAGTTGGTTGCAGTTTTTTCATTTCACTCTGTATATATATATTTAGTTATATTTTTGCCTATGGGCCACAAATAAGTCAACATGTCAGACATATCCGTTCGTTTTTATCCCTCGAAGAAATATTAATTTTAGTCGCTCTCACTTGATTTTTGTAAATATTTATTGAATGTGCTTAAATATTATTCGAAAAATATATGATTTTTAATATAATATAGAGCTAATTCTCAACTATTTGATTTCATAAATATTGATTCCAAAAAATTATCATATTCCTCGTTGGCCCATTTCAAAGATCGCGGGCCGGAGTTATTTTCAAACATTTAGTTATTCCGATGCCAAGGGAAATCCTTCCAAATGGCTCGAACGTCTTACTTCATTGACATCACAACAGAATATCAGACCCATTGTCTTGTAACGGAACGTGGAACGAACCATTTTCAACCAATCGATTTGATGGCAAATGTCGGTGCAGAAAATCAAATCATTTTCATCGTTGTAGAACTATGAAAAATATTAAAAAAAAATGTTAAAAAGAAAAAAATACCAAAAAAATCTACTCACATCAATGAATGCCGAATTGACACCAATCACAACCAAATCTTTGCCATTTTCCCGCGGTGACTTCAAATAGTGCCACACATAGAGGGGCACCCTTTGATTATAGCCATAGAACATATCGATCATTGTGTAATTTTTAGGATGTATTTTGTTTTGAGAGGGTACAGTAACTGCTCCCGACACCCCAGCTAAAATATCATAAATTGCCTTGTCGTCTTCAATGTGCTGTCTCAGAGCCTTCTCGTAGAAATACCAATTGCCCAAACGTAAACTTGGCCACCAATCCATTTCCAATAGGCCACCAAATCTATCAAAATAATCTTTATATAATTGTGGATCCTGTATTACGGCATGATTTTCATATTTGGCAAATTGCATAAATTCTCGGGTTTCCTCGCTACTGAATTGGGAGGCATCGATGCTGGAAAGATCAACATTGTAGTTTTGTGAAATGAAGAATGAATCCGATATTGCATTCAATGCCACTCACCGACGAGGTATAAATTTTTTAGGTATATCCTTTATTTCCACTAACGGGGAATAGTTTTCAAGGCGTGATGGATGCTGAAAAATAGAGAAATTTTAATGTTACAAATGTTGGTGAATTTTGCACAGTTTAATACAATATTTTAAGAAATATGGACAATTTTCAATATTATTTTATAGTTCTTTTAAAAGAGAATCTTTCAATTTCTCTAAAACTGGAAATGATTTGTTTAGCACAAAAAAAAACAGGTCATAATGTCCGACAAAACCAAACTAGATTTCTGACCGAATCGGCTACACTAAAATCTTTAAAATTTTGAAGTTCCATTATAAGAGGGCTGTACATACCCATATAAAATATTCTTAACTTTTCTTTAAATTGAGAATCAATACAAATTTCGTGCTACACCTCTACAACTGGGAATGAACTTTTTAGTAGAAAATAGAAAAAAAATAAAAGTTCGGCTGGACTGAACTTAATTTTTGGCCAAACCTAAAAATTTGTAAATTTCATTATTTGAGGACCACACATACTTATTTCAATATTCTTTTCAGGATACATTAAATCTAACCGAAAGAAACACACAAAATGCTGGAAATCGTTTCCGAAGCCTCAAAAATCAGGATATATTCTTATGTTGAGGCAATGTACAATATACAATGTAATACTACACATCTTTGATCTGGAGGGACTGGAGCTGAATTTTTTCCTTAAAGAAAAATATACCCCTAAACGGAAAGGGGGTTGAGTTTTTTCTATAGCCCCATTGAACTGATGTTTAACTTTTTCTATAGAAAAAAATCAAACCCCCGTTCTATCTGGGACAATTTTTGTCTATAGAAATAAATTGATCTTTAGTTCATTGGGGCCATAGGAATAACTTCAACCCTAGGAAAATTTATTTAGGAGAAACAAGTGAAAAGCTGTAAGTTCTGCCGGGCCGAACTTTGAATACCCTCCACCATTTGGAACGAATTTGGCAATTCTCAAAAATATCTGTTAAAATCTTAAGAATAGCGAATGTAGCTGTTATATGTTGGTCTATATGACGACATAGACCTGCATGGTATTACTTGTCGTAAGCCATTACAATATTCAAATGTGAAAAAAATGGGTAATAATATAACTTAAATCTTCAAAATACCGAATATCGGGAGGTACCGATATATGGGGGCTATACGAAGACGTGGACCTGCACAGACAATTTTCCGTCTTAGACTGTAGTATCCATTAAGAATTTCAAATATCAAATTTGAAACAATTCCGGTGAATAATGTCGCTAAAATCATTAAAATGCCGAATATCCGGGGGTACCGTTATATGGGAGTTATACGAAGACGTGGACCTACACGGCTCATTTTCGTTTTATGCTGTAGTATCTATTACGAACTTCAAATACCGAATTTGAAATAGTTCCGGTAAATAATGTCGGTAAAATCATCAAAATACCCAGTATCGGGAGGTACCGTTATATGGGGTCTATACGAAGACGTGGATCTACACGGCCCATTTTCTGTTTTATGCTGTAGTATTCATTACGAACTTCAAATACCAAATTTGAAATAATTCCGGTAAATAATGTCGCTAAAATTATCAAAATACCGAATATCGGGAGGTACCGTTATATGGGGGCTATACGAAGACATGGACCTACATGGCCTATTTTTAATACCAAAAGTCCCGCAGACATGATACACATTTGAATAAAATTTTATCAACCTACTTCATTTCGTTCGGAAGCTAGAGTGATTTCCACAGAGGGATAGACGAACAGACGGAGGGAAATCGTTAAATCGTCATAGAATTTTATGCAGATCAAGAACATATATATACTTTATGGGGTCTAAAATGTATATTTCGAAGTGTTACAAACGGAGGAGGTTGTACAAATTGTACTATGGTGGAGGGTATGGAAAATGCGTATGCAGGTCCACATCTTCTTATAGTCCCCATATAAAGATACCTCCTGATTTTCGGTATTTTTTTGATTTTAAGAACATTATTCACCGGAATTGTTTCAAATTTGGTATTTGAAGTTCGAAATGGATTCTACAGCTATGACAGGATTTTATTATTCTTGAGAATTGCCAAATTCGTTCCAAATGGTGGAGGGTATTCAAAGTTCGGCCCGGCCGAACGTACCGTTTTTTACTTGTTATTTCTAATTTACCTTATATTTTGAAAACTGGTAGCCGGCAGCATTATATAATGACTGGATTTGTTGTTGCTCAAAGTTGTAACAAACACCGGCTAAATATTCGTAGACATTATCCAAAGGTCGGGCCAAAAGATACGATGACATCGGCGGGGGGCACCAGTCAAAGTGTTCTGAACTTTCATATAAATTCCATTTAACCGAATCGCACCAAACCTTGATATTGCTAACCGGATAACCGAATACTGGCATGCGGCTGTCGGTACAATTTAAGTCAAAACTTCGTAGGCCTTCGCCTTCAATGGGACTGAAAGATGAAGAATTTTTAATTTGAATATTTTTTTCAAGATTTGGGTGAACGGTTCTGATTCACTTCAATTCCAAAAACTTACCTGAGAATACGCGTCTCACAATCAATGGTTATTACCTCGCCATCATTTATATCATAACGAGACAATCCATCGGTGTGTATCAAAGTCTTACGACTACCGATTTTCTTATACAATACCGGTCTGTTCGAATCATTTTTGGGAAAACTGAAATAACAATCACCGGAGACATGGGTTACAGCGCAAAAGTAACAACCAAGGATGGCGATGAGAAGGAGCGATTTAAAATCCATTTTTTTGACAACTTGTTTTTCTAAATGTGAACTAGGAAATGATATGCCATTGAAGACCTGCAACATTATTTATATAGCTAGACATTTTCTCTAGGAAAATATGTAAATATCAAAATTAATAGAAAAAGAGGCAAAGTAAGTAGGTGACAAACAATGAAAGAAAAATCCAAGAAAAATACCTTGGGGAAAGCCAATCAGTCGGTTTTAGGGTATTATGAACCGGTACTGGATTGAATGACAATTATTAGCAGATTAGGAATGGAGTCTTAGAAGGACAAGGGCTCAAATCCTAAAGAATTATCACATCTACATGGATAATCATTTGAAAAAATAAAATTTTAAAATCCGTTTCTGGGTTCGCCATGGGTTAATAAGTTTACATCTGCTCAAATACACCCAAAAAAATGCAGATATGCGGATAAGTAATCTCTAAATTAATGATACACAAAGTTGATGAAGATTCTCCAATTTGTACGAACATTTTTTTCTGAGTGTAATCGCTGTGGTCGCTCTAATTCAAACAAATCAAAATTAATTAAATAAAAGTTACTTTTTTTTTTCCTTGGCAATGGGGCATGGAAAACCCTCTGAACACTTCTGGGAATTTAATCAGGGAATAAAATTCGAAAATTCGATGCAGACCAATGAAAAGTTAGAAGGAAGACTGGAAAACATAAATGAATTAAAGAGGCGGGAATTTCTCATTAGCGTTAAGGAATGACATCAGTATAGGCACACGCCGGCCCCCAAATAATTTGTATAGGTGCGGCAAAGAAATGGATCACCTTGGTAACATGGATATGAGGAGTGGACCTTAGGTAACACTGGACAACAAAATTCATTTTTTGTTTTCAATAATTGAAGGAAAGATCCCAGAGATTAAGAAATTAGAGCTAACAACTAAAATAGTAACTGTCGGTTTTGTCGACAGATTTATACCCCCAGCCTTGAGTTATACCCTCCACCAAACATTGTATGGAGGGTATGTTAAGTTCGTCATTCCGTTTGCAACACATCGAAATAATCATTTTAGACATGACAAAGTATATATATTCTTGATCAGCGCAGGCAGGTCAAGTTCGAAGATGGGCTATATCGGTCCGCGATATCATATAGCCCCCCGATATTCGGTATTTTGATAATTTTAGCGAATTTATTCACCGGAATTGTTTCAAATTTGGTATTTGAAGTTCATATGGGTACTACAGCCTAAGACAGAAAATAACGGTGCCACCCGATATTCGATATTTTAATAATTTTATAGACATTTTTTCACCAGAATTGTTTCAAATTTGGTACTTAAAGTTCGTAATGGATACTACAGCCTAACTTAGAAAATTGTCTGTGCAGGTCCACCTGTACCTGTAAAGTACCCATATAACATTACCTCCCGATATTCCGTATTTTAATGGTTTTAGTGATATTTGCAGATAGATACTTGCAGCTTTTTTACTTGTTTTTTCAATTTTCGTAGTGCCTATGTCTTCGTATAGACGCCAATATAACGTCCATATTTTAAGATTTTAACAGAATTCTTGGCGAATGTTTTTTTTTTTTTTGAAAATTTCCAAATTTGTTCCAAATGGTGGAGGGTATTCAAAATTCAGCCCGGCCAAACTTACTGCTTTTTTACTTGTGCTTATTCAAACTTTTGACCCTTTATGGGGGGTTTTTCGAAGCAGGTGGCCAATATTAACCACTTCATATCTGACCGAAGACCGATAAAAATAAAACTATGTGCCAGATTTCGACTATACCGACTACTTCCTATACTTTATAAGAAATATGTGCAAATTTTTGAAAATGTGGAAATGTGCGTGAGTTACCAGATATAGCGGCCCGAAGTATTCCATTTTCATAATTCGTCTAATACAGATAAAAATTTTGGTTTGTGCAACATTTGCAGGAAATCGAACATATATCCATTTTTATGCGAATCCATAAATTTCGATTAATAACATATTCATATCAGATTTGTGGTTAAGAGAAATATTAAAACACAGAAAATTGTGACCCTTTGTGTGTGAGGTAAGAGAAGGCAGATATATATCATCTTCGCAACAGCTCTTGCGATAGCAAAAAATATTTGGATGTGTGAAATTTGAAAAAAGTTGGATGTTTATTTCGTTTTTTTTGCGCATTATTTTAAATCTTGAACCCCTTGTGGGTGAATTATCAGAAGAAATGGTGCGACCTGTAACGTCTTCATACCAAATCTTGTGTTGATGGAAATATTGAGATGTACCGAGTCTGAATGGAATCGGATGTACATTTCGCGTTAGGAGCTTCATGGATACTCCAAATTTTGGCACCTTGTGGATGAGGTACAAGCAGGAGTCACGTCAGACCTTTGGTTGATAAAAATGTTGTGATGTGTACAATATGAAGAGAGTGTAATGCTTATTTCGGATTTTATAATGGTTTAGGTTATTCAAAATGTTGGCCCTTTGTGGTGGAGGTACCAGAAGGAGCGGACCGAAGTACAGGGTGAGATAAAAAACTGCAACAACGTCAAACGCCATACTTTTACATTTTTTATACCCTACACCACAAGGTGGTCAGGATATTATGTCTTTGTGCATTTGTTTGTAACAGGCAGAAGGAAACGAGATAGACCCATAGTTCCTTTTGATGATCTGCATAGAATCACATTCTGAGTCGTCTGTCCGTCCGTCCGTCTGTCCATGTATTTTTGTATTGCCCGATCCAGATGAAATTTTGCAAAGATCTTTTATTTTGCCCAAGGACGAACCCTATTGAAATTGGAGATAATCGGTCAAAATTTAGATATAGCTCCCATATATATCTTCGTCCGATTTGCCTTTTATTGTGCACCAAACGTGTAATATCAGCCAGAATTGTATGGGATTTTGCATATACACCCAAATTAGGCCTGGAAATATGTATGCCAAATTTGATCGAAATCGGTTCAGATATAGCTATAGCTCTCATATATATTGTTCATCCGATTTGTTATTTTTGTCCACTGCCGCCGTAGTATGCACTCTGCAACAACAATATCTGGGGAAATATATCAAATACAGCTCAGAAATACATTTGCTAATTTTTATCGAGATCGGTTCAGAATTGGATATAGCTCCCATATATAACTTCGTCCGATTTACATTTTATTGTGCACCAAACGTCTAATATTTGCCCAAATGGGATGGAATTTGGCACATACGACCGAATTGAATCTAGAAGCTAGTATGTCAAATTTGGTGAAGATCGGTTCAGATATAGCTATAGCTCCCATATATATTGTTCATCCGATTTCTAGTATTTGTTACCCACAGCCGTAATATCCACTCCGTAACAACGATATTCAGGGAAATATATCAAATACAGCTCAGAAATATCTTTGCCAAATTTTATCGACATCGGTTCAGATTTGGATATAGCTCCCATATATATCTTTATCCGATTTCAAATTAATTGTGCACCGAATGTCCGAATTTAAAAGATACAAATGCTTCGGCATATTTAGTCCTTTGAATTTTAAATTATAATTATAATCATAGAGTGTATGATTGAATTCTCCCATAAAAACTTTTAATTGTTATGTGGAGCTCTACTAAATTTAGCGGCCCCGCCCGACTTTAAGGCTTTCTTTACTGGTTTTTATCTCACCCTGTACATCTGTCAGCAAATACTTTTAAACTGCTTTTAATTTCTATTACCCTAAAGTGGTATTTTCAACCAATTTCTAATTTAACCTGAATTCCTTTTATGCTTGTTATTCAAGTTCATTCTCATCCCCAAGTAGGTTTTCCCTAAATCGTACATCATGGATTTCCCTCGCATTAATTCCTAAATTTTTTCTTCTAAAAAAATTGAATGAAAATACCCTCTTCTTCAACAAACAAAAGGCAATATATAAATATGAATAAATGTTCGGCACACTTCCAACAGTAAATCATTTCTATTTTCGCTTTTCCGCCGACAAGTAGTTTGAAATGGATTTGAACATTGTTTTACTCATTGTTTGTTGTAGTTGTTATATTACGACAAATGTGTGCGGCTATTGCACATATTACTACTCTCACTACGAGTCCAAACGACCCAAATTGTATCGGAATTTGGGTGATCGTAAAGAACTTATCCCTATCGAAGGTCTTGAGTATCGAATCGAAGAAGGTGACTTGATAACGGCTGATTGTGAGACACGCATTCCCAGGTAAGATTGGTATAGCGAAAAGAAATTAAAATATGAAAAAAAACATCTCTTCCCCACAGCATCAATCAAGGCAAGGGCAAAGGTAGTAGCATCAATTTGACTTGTTTCCGCAGAGACCTCTTTGCTGATGGCACTAAACTACGTACTATACTACAGACCTACTGCGAACCAATATATTGGAATTTATTTGAATCGTCAAGACCATTTGACTGGTGTCCCACGCCACTGACGTCATATCTATTGGCAAGACCTTTGTACAATCTCTATGAGTATTTAGCTGGTGTTTGTTACGATGCCGAACGACAACAAATCCTGACAGTTCTGTATGCGGAGGCTCATCTTGGGTCGAAACATAAGGTAAGTTTTAAGAGATCTAAAATGATTTTGGAATGAGGTTTGAGTGTGGCAAAATTTTGAATACTCATACTGGTACCACCTCCACAAAAGGTAAAAATATTGAATGTTCAAAAGTGGTTTCTTTTATACTTCTGGGAGGCTGGAACCGTCACTCCAAATTTTCAAACAGCCCCCATATAACGGTACCTCCCGATATTCGGTATTTTGATGACTTTAAAGACTTTATTCACCGGAATTGTTTCAAATTTGGCATTTGAAGTTCGAAATAGATACTACAGCCTGAGACAAAAAATTGTCAGTGCAGGTCCACGTCTTTGCATAGCCCCCACATAACGATACCTCCCGATATTTGGTATTTTGATGATTTTAGCGACATTATTCAGCGGATTTGTTTAAATTTGGTATTTGAAGATCGAAATAGATACTACAGCCTGAGACAGAAAATTGTCTGTGCAGGTCCACGTCTTCGTATAGACCCCACATAACGTAACTCCCTATATTCGGTATTTTCATGATTTTAGCGACATTATTCACCGGAATTCTTTCAAATTTGGCATTTGAAATGCCACAGCCTGAGACAAATATTGTCTATGCAGGTTCACGTCTTCGTATAGCCCCCACATAACGTACCTCCCGATATTCGGTATTTCGATGATCTTAGCGACATTATTCACCGGAATTGTTTTAAATTTGGCATTTGAAGTTCGAAATAAATACTACAGCCTAAGGCAGAAAATCGTCTATGCAGGTCCATGTCTTCCAATAGCCCCCATATAACGGTACCTCCCTATATTCGGTATTTTGATGATTTTAGAGACATTATTCACCGGAATTGTTTCAAATTTGGTATTTGAAGTTCGAAACAGATACTACAGCCTGAGACAGAAAATTGTCTGTGTAGGTCCACGTCTTCGTATAGCCCCCATATAACGGTACCTCCCTATATTCGGTATTTTGATGATTTTAGAGACATTATTCACCGGAATTATTTCAAATTTGGCGTTTTAAGTTCGTAATGAATGTTACAGTCTAAGGCAGAAAATCGTCTATGCAGGTCCACGTCTTCCTATAGCCCCATCTAACGGTACCTCCCGATATTCGGTATTTTGATGATTTTAGCGACATTATTCACCGGAATTGTATGAAATTTGGCGTTTGAAGTTCGCAATGAATACTACAGCCTAAGGCAGAAAATTGTCTATGCAGGTCCAGGTCTTCGTATAGGTTCCATATATCAGTACCTCCCTATATTCGGTATTTTAATAATTTTAGCGTCATTATTCACCGTAGTAGTTTCAAATTACGTATTTAGCGTTCGTAATGGAAACTACAGTTTGTGGCAGAAAATTGTCTAAGCAGGTCCAGGTCTTCGTATAGGTCCCATATATCAGTACCTCCCTATATTCGGTATTTTGACAAATTTAGGTACAATACTCTACTAATTTTAGCTACATTATTCACCGTTTATTTCAAGTTTCGGCTTATAACAAACTATGCCTATGTAGGTGCACGTCATACAGACCCTAATATAACGGCTTTATTCGGTATTTTTAAGATGTTAGCAGAATTTTTGGCGAATGTTATCTTTCTCTAACATTTTCAAACTCGTTCTAAATGGTGGAGGGTATTCAAAGTTCGGCCCGGTCGAATTTACAGCTTCTTTTACTTGTTTAATTTATGGGAGGATCCAGAAGGCTCTCAGAACGAGATATTTTATAATAGTTTCTAAATTAATCAAGAGGCCTGGATTTTTGATTATTTTTTGAGAGGATCCAAATATTTTTGGGCTCTATGAAATTGGGTTTTAAATACTTTTGCTGGGATCCGAGAGGCTGCCTTTTTTAACAATTTTCGGGAGATAAAATAAAAGTGGATTTTCAAATATATTGGCCGGAATTTAAGAGGCCCAAAAAAGTGATTTTTTTTTAATATTTCAAATTCAAAGGAGCTCTATAAAAGTGAATTTAACCGCCAGGATTCAAGAGGTGAAATTTAGGTGATTTTTAAATATTCAATTTTAGGGTTCAAAAATCTAAATAATTCTAGATTTTTCTTTTAAATTTTTAATTTTTTAATTTTGTCTTCAAATTGTTTGGAAGTACTCGAGAGGTCTTATAAGAGTGGAAATTAAAGCATCCATGGAAGTATATGAACGTGAATTTGAAATAAGTTTGCTAGGATCCCTGTGGCTCTTTAAATGTGTCTTTTTATACCCTACACCACATAGTGATAAGGGTATTATGTCTTTGTGCATTTGTTTGTAATAATGAGAAGAAAGAGTGATAGACCCATAGCTACTTTTGAGGATCTTCATAGAATCACTTTCTAAGTCGATTTATGCATGTCAGTCCGTCTGCCCATGTATTCTTGTGAATATCAGGTTAAGCTGAAATTTGCCAAACAATAGTTGTTTTGCCGAAGGACGAACCCTAATGAAATTGCTGATAATCCGATAAGATTTAGATATAGCTCTCATATATCTTCAACCGATTTCGGGTTAATTATACTCGAAATGGCCAAATGACCTGAATTTTTTCACATCCGACCGAATTCAGTCTAGAAGTAAGTGCATCGAATTGCGAGAAAATCGGTTCCGATTTGGGGTTTTAAGTCCTTTCAATGAGATAAAAAAACAGCAACAAAGTCAAACGCTTAATTTTTTTACATTTTTTTTAAATTTTACTGAATGAAAGCAAAAAATGTCGGAAATAGCATCAAATTTTAGAATAAGTTTAGATTTGTTCGAATTGGTCACCTTTGGCACGAATTATGGCCTTCAATCGGCAAATAAAATCGTCACATGCTGCCCGAATGTTCCTCTTCGGTATTTTGGCCCATTCTCGGCGAAGCCCTTTCTTGAGGCGATCGACACTTTGGTATTTTTCAGTGCCAGCCTTGCTTTTCAAAATACTCCAGACGCAATTGTCCAACGGATTGGTATCCGGAGATTTTGGTGGCCATGAAATGCGCTGGAAATGAAACGAGGAACCTCATTTTGTCACCATTCTTGGGTGGCGCGTGCTGAGTGTGATGGTGCTGAGTCCTGTTGGAATGTTCTAATATCAGCCCATATGAAGTGAAATTCGGGACGTACTTTTCCGTTTTGTGGAACAGTTTTTGCCACATCTTTCTTTAGAATTATTTCAAATTCAAAATTTCGAGTACACAGTGGCTACTACTTCCTATGACAGAATATTTGATATTTTTTTTTTTTTAATTTTTTTCATACCCTTTGCAACCGAATAATATTGAACTTTGTATTTGGAGTTCGTCGTAGGAATCTCCTTTTCTGGCAGATAATTGGCAGATAAGAATCCACGTTTTAGCAAAGCCCAATACAAACTCAAAATCTGATATTCAGAGTTTTCAAAATTATAGCGGCATTTTTTAATAGATTTTTATACCTTCCACCATAGTATGGAAGGTATATAAAGCTTTTCATTCCGTTTGTAACACATCGAAATATACATTTTATGTCGATTTAGCGATGTCCGTCCGTCTGGGGAAATCACTCTCCGAACGAATTGAAGTAGATTGATAAAATTTTACTCAAATGTATATTATGTCTGCAGGACTTTTGGCATTGAAAATGGGCCAGGTTTTTGTATAGCCCCCATATAACGGTACCTCCCGATATTCGGTATTTTGATGATATTAGCGACAATATTCATCGGAATTGTTTCAAATTTGGTATTTGAAATTCGAAATCCATGCTACAGCCTACGACAGAAAATCGTCTGTGCAGGTCTACGTCTTTGTATAGCCCCATATAATCCCTATGTAGGGTATTTTGATGATTTTAGTGACATTATTTACCGGAATTGTTTCAAATTTGGTATTTGATGTTCGTAGTGGATACCACAGCCTAAGGCAGGAAATTGTCTGTGCAGGTCAACGCCTTCGTATAACCCCCATATAACGGTACCCCCCGATATTTGTTATTTTGATGATTATTCACCGATTTTATTTAAGTTTCGCATTTGAATATTGTATGCAGGTCCATGTCGTCGTATTGACCCTAATGTAACAGCTACATTCGGCATTTTTGAAATTTTAACAGAATTTTTTATTGGATTTTATTGTTTTTGAAAATTGCCAAATTCATTCCAGATGGTGGAGGGTATTCAAAGTTCAGCCCGGCCGAACTTTCAGCTTTTTTACTTGCTTTTTTTTTTTTTATTTTGCAAGTTCCTCCCGAATGGTGGTGGTAAATGCAAAATATTTAAATATTTTGGGAGTATTTAAGAAACAATAGAAATACAAAATTTAGTTTAATACTTTTGGGAGAGGCTCTACTCGGCTTGAATCGAATGCATTTCAACCTGAAAGTCGTTAAATAGGACAACACTTTCACTTTTCTTTTTTTTTAGTATCCGGCTTCCCTTCAGTACTATAGTCCTAAAGTGGAAATTCTCGATGTACCCACGAAATTTGGAACCCGCCGGTGAGTGGCATCTATCCCCATATTGGCTTTATAATTTTAATTTTTTTTTCTATTTCATATTCTCCATTTATTAGCATCAACGCAACGCATTTCAATAATTCGGAAATTCGAGAATGGATGCAATTCTACCAATATGAAAATCATTCCTTAATACAAGATGATATTTTATACCGACAGTTTTATGATAAATTTGGTGGTCTATTGGAGTTGGATTGGTGGCCAAATTTCCGTGCCGGGAATTGGCTTCTCTATGAGCAGGCTCTGAGGGAGCATATTGAAGCAGATGGGGCGACTTATGATATTATGGCAGGTGCATCGGGAACCGTTGCTGTGCCCTCCCATGAGAATGCTAGTCGTCGTGAGAATTACGCCATGCTTAATGTGATCTATGGTGAAAATCAGCAAATCCCTCTGTATGTATGGCACTATTTGAAGTCACAGAATGAGAATGGCAGCGATGTGGTGGTGATTGGTGTTAATTCGCCATTCGGTGATGTTAGTGTTGTCATTATTATTTCAGAAAAATGTTTTTCTTATTATTGTTTTTTTTTTTTTTTTTTTTTTGGTTTTTGCAGTTCTACAAGGAAACCGATTTGATTTTCTGTACCGACATCTGTCATCAAATAGATTGGTTGCAGGCAGTTCAATCCACATTCCGCAACGAGTCGATGGGTCTAATTTTCTGTTGTGATGCCAATGAGGTGAAACAGTCGAAACGTCTGCACGGATTTCCATTAGGTTCCAGCAAAATGTGTAGTGTAACATAACTCATGTCACTGTTTGGGCAGATGGTCGGAAAGAGACAATAAATCTAGACAAACGAAATTTTAAACTGAACCCTCAAAAAAAAGTTTTAAAGAAATTAGAAAACTGTGAATAAAATTTTATTATTTATCAAAAAAAAAAAAAAAAAAAAAAAAAAAAAAAAAAAAAAAACAGTAAAGAAAGTCCTAAAGTCGGGCGCGGCCGATTTTATGATACCCTACACCACTTTGCTAATTTAGTTGAGCTCCACATAACAATTAAAAGGTATTATGGGAGAATTCAATCATACAAGCTATGATTATAATTCTAATTTAAAATTCAAAGGATTAAAGATGCCGAAGCATTTATATATTTTAAATTCGGACTTGGATTGCCCATTTGGTGCACAATTAATTTGAAATCGGATAAAGATATATATGGGAGCTATATCCAAATCTAAACCGATCTCGATAAAATTTGGCAAAGATATTTCTGAGCTGTATTTGATATATTTCGAGGAATATCGTTGTTACGGAGTGCATATTACGGCTGTGGGTAACAAATACAACAAATCGGATGAACCGATCTTCACCAAATTTGGCATACTATCTTCCAGACTCAATTCGGTCATATGTGCCAAATTCCATCCCATTTGGGCAAATATTAGACGTTTGGTGCACAATAAAATGTAAATCGGACGATAATACATATGGGAGATATATCCAAATCTGAACCGATCTCGATAAAATTTAGCAAAGGTATTTCTGAGCTGCATTTTATATATTTCCCCAAATATTGTTGTTACAGAGTGCATATTACGGCTGCGGAGGACAAAAATAACAAATCCGATGAACAGTATATATGGGAGCTATAGCTATATCTGAACCGATTTCGATCAAATTTGGCATACTTATTTTCAGGCCTAATTTGGTTGTATGTGCAAAATTCCATACTATTCGGACTGATATTACACGTTTGGTGCACAATAGAAGGCAAATCGGACGAAGATATATATGGGAGCTATATCTAAATTTTGACCGATTATCTCCAATTTCAATAGGGTTCGTCCTTGGGCCAAACAAATGATTTGTGCAAAATTTCATCTGGATCGGACAGTAAATGCGAACTGTACTTTGTTTACAAAAATACATGGACAGACGGACTGGCATGCATAAATCGACTCAGAATGTGATTCTATGCAGATCATCAAAAGGAACTATGGGTCTATCTCGTTTCTCTTTGCCTGTTACAAACAAATGCACAAAGACATAATACCCTGACCACCTTGTGGTGTAGGGTATAAAAATCTGTTTAAAATGTAGCTAAAGTCATTAAAATACCGAATATAGGGAGGTACCATGGGGGTTATAAAACGTGGACCTGCAGAGACAATTTTCTGTCTTAGGCTGTAGTATCCATTACGAATTTTAAATACAAAATTTGAAATAGTTCCGGTAAATAATGTCTGTAAAACCATCAAAATACCGAATACGGGGAGCTACCGTTATATGGGGGCTATACGAAGACGTGGACCTGCACAGACAATTTTCTGTCATAGGCTGTAGTATCAATTACGAACTTCAAATACCAAATTTGAAAGAATTTCTGTGAATAATTTCGCTAAAATCAACAAAGTACCGAATATTGGGAGCTACCGTTATATGGGGGCTTTACGAAGACGTGGACCTACATGGCCCATTTTCTGTTTTATGCTGTAGTATCTATATCGAACATAACGATATACCAAATTTGAAACAATTCCGGTAAATAATGTCGCTAAAATAATCAAAATACCGCATATCGGAAGGTACCGTTATATGGGGGCTATACGTGGACCTACATGGCCCATTTTCAATACCAAAAGTCCAGCAGACATAAAATACATTTGAATAAAATTTTATCAATCTACTTCAATTCGTTCTGAAGCTAGAGTGATTTCCACAGACGGACGGACATTGATAAATCGACATAGAATTTTATGCTGATCAAGAATATATATATACATTGTGCGGTCTAAAATGTATATTTCGAGGTGTTACAAACGGAATGACGAACTTAATATACCCTCCATACTATGCTGGAGGGTATAAAAATAGTAGTGTTTTAAGGAACTGTAAATTGTAATTCTACCCTCAGCCAGAATATGGCTCGAGAGGGTATATATCATTTGATACGTCCAAAACGTGCCTCATCGAAATAAGGCGTTTTTGACCCTCTTTATGCCAAATCCCTCCGACCGTCTGTGTATCTGCTGGTTGGTGCGCACTATAACTCTCGAAATATTATTATCAAACGTAGATCGAGTTCGGTGATGGGCAATATCGGTCCACTCCTTCTGGTACATACCCCACAAAAGGTCACAACTACTAAATCCGTTCGTTCGTCTGTCTGTCTGCTGCTTGGTGCGCACTATAATTCTCGAAGGGAGTATCCAATTTGGCCAAAACTTGGTACATCGAAACATAATTATCAAACTTAGATCGAGTTCGGAGATGGGCAATATCGGTCCACTCCTTCTGCCACATTCCCCAAAAAGGTAAAAATCATCTAAAGAAAATGTTTTACTTCATCAAAAGAGAAGAGATCACCCGATTTGGCTCAAACATTGCAAATCTTAATATTTAAATCAATGGTAGGTTAGGTGCCAAAATGGACAATATCGGACCCCACTAAGGGTTAAAGTTTTAAATAATTATCTATGAAAGAGGAAAATCTTTGTTTGTAGTTTATGGACTCGAAAACCGCTGTAGAGATTTTCCTGGAAATTTCCAAGTTTACTACAACATCGCCTGAAAGTAACATAGGCTATAAAAAGTTTTAAAATTCCACTTGGAACTGGAGATATAGCATCAGCAAAAAGGAGGTACCTACCAAATATTTAGATTTTATTTTTTTCTATACCCTCTACCATAGTACGGAGGGTATATTAAGTTTTGTCATTCCGTTTGTACCACCTCAAAATATAAATTTTAGACCCCACAAAGTATATATATTCTTGATCAACATAAAATTCTATGTCGATTTAACGATGTCCGTCCGTCTATCCATCTGTGAAAATCACTCTAGCTCCCGAACGAATTGAAGTAGATTGATAACATTTACTGAAATATATATTATATCTGCAGGACTTTTGGTATTTAAAATGGGCCATGTTGGTCCACGTTTTCATATAGCCCCCATGTAAGGGTACCTCCCGATCTTCGGTATTTTGATGATTTTATCGGCATTATTCGCCGGAATTATTTCAAATTTCGTATTTGAAATTCGTAATGGATACTACAGCCTATGACAGAAAATTGTTTTTTGCAGGTCCACGTCTTCATATAGCCCCCACATAACAGTACCTCCAGATATTCGGTATATTGATGATTTTAGCGAAATTATTTATCGGAATTGTTTCGAATTTGGTATTTGAAGTTCGTAATGGATACTACAGCCTTTGGCAGAAAATTGTCTGTGCAGATCCTTGTTTTATAACCCCCATGGTACCTCCCGATATTCAATATTTTGATGATTTTAGCTACATTATTCACCGATGTTTTTTCAAGTTTCGCATTTGAATATTGTAATGGCTTGTGACAAAAGTTACCTATAGCTACAGTCGGTATTTTTAAGATTTTAACAGAATTTTTAACGGATTTTATTGTTTTTGGGAATTGCCAAATTCGTTTCAATTGGTGGAGGGTATTCAAAGTTCGGTCCTGCCGAACTTACAGCTTTTTTACTTGTTTTATCTCACCCTGTATTATACCACTCCATACCTTCCTCCCCCTGCAAAGGCTCTTAATTTTAAATAATAAAATCTCTCATGAATAGAGAAATAACCATAACGATTCTCTTTAAATTTCACACACCTATTTCGAAGATCGAGTGTGAATATGGAATATATCGGACTACTTCTTCTGGTACCTCCCCCACAAGGTGTCAAAAATTTTAATAATTAAGTCTCACATTTAACGAGAAATAAATATCCCATTCTCTTCAAATTTCACACATCTCAATATTTCTTTGAACGCAAGATTAGTTGTGAAGATGGATAATTTTGGCCGACTCCGTTTGGTACCTCTCCCATAACGGGTCAAAATTTTGAATAACCATGAAGCTCTTAAAATTTGAAATTAGCATCCGATTATATTCGAACTTAACACATCTCAATATTTTTATCAACACAAGATCTGGTAAGGAGATAGAATATGCCCTACCACTTCTTCTGTTACCGTGATATTGGTATCGTAGGCCGGCGTCAAGAAAGTGGACGGAAGAAAACAACAACATCAACAGAAATAGTTCGAAAAGTAAAATATCGCAATATTCCATTCGGGAAATATTGAAATAATGAGCTCGGATTAAAGCTATTGAAATTCCAAAAAGTGTAAGAACTTGAAAGAAAATAAACTCACAAGAGCTAAAGAGTTGATTCGCTTGGCCGAAAGTGGTGAACTGTCGAATTTGGATTTCTCCGATGAGAAAAGATTCGTTGTCCAGCAGTTTGTAAACAAACAAAATGATCGTGTTTACTTGCCGAAGAGGTCAGCTGAAAGCGCCGGCCATGGTGATGGTGTGGGCTGCCATAACAGCCGAGGGCGCTCTCCGCACGTATTAATAGACCGTGGCATCAGAATAAATGCCGAATATTATCACGAAAATATTCTGGAGGGTGTATTAAAGCCTTGGGCACGCAAACATTTTGGCGGCAGACCTTGGACATTCCAACAAAACTCAGCACTATCGCACTCAGCACGCGCCACCCAAGAATGGTTATAAAATGAGGTTCCTCGCTTCATTTCCAGCGATACCAATCCGTTGGACTATTGTGTCTGGAGTATTTTGGAAAGCAAGGTTGGCACTAAAAAATACCACAGTGTCGATCACCTCAAGCAAGCGCTTCGCCGGGAATGGGCCAAAATACAGCAGAGCAACATTCAGGCAGCGTGTGACGGTTTCATTGGCCGTTTGAAGGCCATAATTCGTGCCAAACGTGACCAATTCGAACATATCTAAACTTATTCTAAAATTTGATGCTATTTTCCGATATTTTTTGCTTTTATTCAATAAAATTTAAAATTTTTTTTTTGAGTTATGACTTTTGACTTTGTTGCAGTTTTTTTATCTCATCCTGTATATCACCCAAAAGAGTCAAGTC